CTGGAACTGTAAGTCCAGTAGGCCTCTCAGGTTTCTTGGTTGTCATCTCTATCTTTTCTGAAAGGTAGGCATTATTTGCCATCCCCGTTTTATACGTGATGTAATTAAATACCAGAATTGTCCAAGGTCACACAACTGAAGGCTTGTTCTTTTCCTTACAATACCGAGAAAGCAGATTCTGTTGATGAACTATTTCACAATATATCTGATAATGAGTCGCCTAAAGTTATTTTGTGACCTGGGTGATCCCGGATGATTGAAAGACAGAGCAGACAAGCCCACCCTATGGGTTGGAGTAAAGCCCAGCTAATGCCACTGTATATTGGCCAAACCCTGGTCAACTCATGGGCGTGGGAGAGAGAAGCAAATGTAGTTCATTGTATGCCAAGAAAGTTTTTTGGTTGTATGCAGCCGTAGCCACCTGAGACCTCATCTCCTTTATTCCCTTTTCTCCCTCAATTTCCTTATACTCTAGGCATGCTACTCTTTCTTCCTCCCTGAACTCTTTAGCCTACAGCCTTTGGGCAAGCTCTTCTCGGCGGTTCCCTCAACACGTGGAGCCTAGGAAAGGGGGGCTATTTATTTCTTCATTCTCTACCTTGTTTCAAAGAAGATTTGAAGGCTTATTAAAATTCTCATTATGCAAAATAAAAATAGAAGGGAGTTAGAGGTAAGAAAACGTTTAGATCCCCAATAAAGATAATGTGAACATGGTTCACTAATGATATCTATTTCACAGAGGCATAACTGGTATTGTGATTTTTCAATGTCCCGAGTGAGGGGTGACAATGAAGTTGGTAGGCCTACCAGACAAGCCCCAATGGCGTGACAAAGAGTAACCAATTAGTCATGCTTTAATATACTAACAGGTTTTTTTTTTTTTTTTTTAACAGCTTGCTTTTTATCCCTGAGGGTATAAAAATCTCACCTGATTTGGGCTAGGTGAGAAAATAAAGTGTGGCTTTTTTCCACTGTTATACAATTTCAATTCTTGGTTCTACAAAGAAACAATCCATGAGTTATAACTTAAGGGAAAAGTAGAGCCAAAAGATAGACTATATAGTTTTAAAATTGTGAATGATTTTATTTTCAACTGAAAGTTATTGCTCCCTACCACTAACTTTTACCCTTTTCCTCCTACAATAATAATCCATTTGTTCACTTAATGAATACTTATTCAGAGCCTACTATGTGTTTCCCAGGGCTACACTGGTGAATGAGACAAACAGACCTTTTACAATGATTAAATATGGTTGGTGTAAGATGGACCTTGCTGCTTTTGAAGAATACAGAGAAGGCCCTTGTTGCTTGAGTTTAGTAAACAAGAGAGGATGGGAGGGGCCAGAGCCAGGTATGCTTCCTTTGGACACACACAAGCACACGCACACTATTTTGCTGCTATTATAAATTATCACAAATTCGTGGCTTAAAGCAACACACTCTTATTCTCTAATGGTTCCATAGGTTAGAATTACAACACAGGACTCACTGAACTAAAATCAAAATGTTTCTTTTGGAGATTTAAGGAAGAGTTCGTTCCCTTGCCCTTTTCAGCTTCCAGATGCTGCCCCCATTGCTTGGCTCATGGACCCCTTCCTCCATCTTCAAAGCCAGAAACATTGCATCTCCTGACCATTCTTCCACAATCACATCTCCCATTCTGACCAAAGCTGGGAAAGTTTCTCCAGTCTTAAGCTTCCAAGCGATTAGATTAGGCTTACCTGGATAGCCTCCCCATTGCAAAGTCCTTAACCTAATCATACCATCACAATATGTTGTCACATAAGATAACATTCACAGATTGCAGTGGTTAGGGTGTGATATCTTTGGGGGAAGTGTCATTATTCTGCCTCACACACACACATACAAAGATAGATATGTAATGAATTTAAAAATTTATACAGAAATTTTTCTCAAAAAATTAGACATAAATAAAATAAACATATTAGGACCGCAAAAACAGAGGCATAATCGTTTTAAAAGACTTAAAGTTTTTATATGTATATATTATTAGTACTACATCTCTGATGAGGTATTGCCATGGATATTGAAGAAAAAAGAAATGGAGAACCACAGCTACAATAAACGACATGATTTAGTCTTAGAAATATGATGAGTAAAAAGAGCAAGTCCCAGAAGACTACCCCAGTATGGGTTTTAGGTCCAGGCATGAGTTTCCTTAGGGTTGCTGTAACAGTTCTGGAGGCTGGATGTCCAAAATCAGGGCTCTGAAGGCTCTAGGGAAAAATTCTTCCTTGCTTCTTCCCAGCTTCCGGTTGTCGTCAGCAATTGTTAGCATTCTTTGGCTTGTAGTGGCATCACTACATTTTCCCCCTCTTATAGTCTTCCTTCCTCTGTCTCTCTCCGTGACTCTCTTTCTTTTTAAGGACACAGTAATTGGATTCAAAGCCGACCCTAATCTAGTATGACCTCATCTTAACTTGATTATGCCTGCGAAGACCCAATTTCCAAATAAGGCCACATTCACATCCTTAGGTGCCAGTGAGTTAGGAGTTCAACATACCTTTAGGAGGGGACACTATTCAACTCAAAATAGTCAGGTTTCCCTGGGGACACACTCTGAGACTGAGATTTGCTTGGACGGGACTTATTTATGAAGTGCTCTGGTGAACAACATCAGTAAGGGAGTGAGGGAAGCAGTAAGGGAGTGAGGTTAAGCTGAGGGAGAAGCTGAACTTCTGAGGAAGCAGTGCAGTTGTAATGGAAGCCTCAGCTGATTCCCCAGGGAGCTCTGAGGCTAGGGTGGCCTTTCTGAGATGTCCATAATTGAGATAAATAGGCCAGGCTTTTGGATTCCTGTATCAACCAGGCATTGGATACAGGCTGCTTGTGGAGACGGGGCAAAGCAACTCCTTTGCCAAGGCCAGTTCCTGTAGCCAGACACAGCTGTGAGCCCTCAGCAACTAGTCCGGGGGGCGGAGTGGAGGGGAGTGAATGTCTTAGTCCTGGAGGGGGAGTTGCATACTTGAGCATCCACAACATTATGGTTATTAATTGAGTTAGAAAATAAGCAAAACTGAACAATATATTATTATTTCATATAAATTTGTGATTAAATATATACTTACTAATATGTATATATAAAGAGTATTTATATACCACATAAACTTTATATATTTAAAAGTAGTAGAATGATATACAACATTTTGGACTGGGCTTACCTTCAGAGGATGGGATAGGTTAGGTTCTTGGTTTTTGGTTCTTGAATTGGGTGGTGAGTTGACAGCCTTTCATTACATAATGCTTTATGACTAATTTATGTATTTCATGTAATCTTTTGTATATAACAAATATATTTCTAAATACAATAAAGGTAAGAAAGAAAATAACTAGGCAAAAGCAACAGAAAATAAACTAGTTGGAAATTTTAGGAAAAAAGTATGAGTAAAGATAGCAAACCCTGGGTAGATTGCTGAAGTAAGTAGTCAGGTGAAGAAAAACTTATAAAATTCTCTCTCATTATTTACTTTAAATTTGACTGTGTAACCATCCAAAAGTTTTGTCATTTCATCATAGCTTGAAATATGTTGTAGAAACATCTGTTTGCTCCCCCTGTCACCTAATTTTAAATTGGTTCATCATTTCATCATAGCTTGAAATATGATGTTGCAGAAACATCTGTTTGCTCCCACTGTCACCTAATTTTAAATTGGTTTGTTTACAGTGGCACTATTTTTTTTTTTAAGTGGGTAAGGCTGTTGGGATGTTTTATTAGAATGGCTGGTACGATAAAGAAATCCAGTTAATAAATGCTACTGATATGTCAAGATTTCACTATGGTATTTTTAATGGTGTATTGATAGAAGAAAGAAATTGTTGAATTATGTTTGTATGATCACAACTTTTCCTTTTTAAAAGTATGTGTATGTATGTCATGTATATCATACAGTTTGGGGGCAAGTTCCCCAAGGGGGTGGGGAGCTCAAGCCCTGCACTATGAGAGAAAAGTGTTCTTGGCTGAGAGCAAGAAAGAATTCAAATGCCTGCCAAAGTCAGAGTCGAAAGGAAAATTTATTAGAGAAGGGGTAACGCTCCATTGACACAGCATAGTCTCTGAGAGGCAGAGAGTGAGAGAGCCTGAGAGAGACTCAGAAGGACAGAGACAATAGAGAGAGATGGCCACAGTGACAGGGACCCGTAGTGTTAGGGGAATTCAGTTTATATATCATTCTTTAGTTCTGCGAATTACAGCTTAAGGACTTTTTTATGCATTCTCTTTTGACATGGGTGTCAACGCCGAGCTGATCAAGAAGGGAAGGCTTTGGTGGTGAGACGCCAGGTAGGAGGAGCCTACATGAGAATGAAACAGCAGCATCTGGTCTGGCTGTAGGGACTGATCAGCATATTGCAGTCCTTGAATATAGCTTGATTTAATATTTTAGTGTTCTTGCCTTCTGCCTACACTAATTTACTTACACAGAAAAAGCAATAGAAGAATGCACTCCAAATTACCAGATGTGATTAATGGAAACAGGATATGGATATTTTATATACTGCTGTGAAAATAAATTTAAAAAATGTTAAAATTATATTTTTAAATCAGTTGTTTCAAAACAACCGGTTTTAGTTATATATGTTTGCAGAGGTTCTGTAAAACATGAGCTTAAGTTCCTTCATAAGTAGGTGAGAGTGTAGAAAGAGCCCTGGATTTTTAGTGTAGATGTCTTGGTTTTAAAACCAGGCCTACTGCATCAAAGTGATTCTTAAGTAAGAAGTTTATCTTAAAGAATTTGTTTCCTTGTTGGAAAAATGGGGGTGATTTGTGTTGTTGGAATGGAATAAAGTATGTGAATTTACTTTGAAAATGATATTGCAGTATTGAAGTATAATAAATGTTAATGTTCATGTCTATGGTAATATTGTTTGCTAAAGAAATAAAATATTAACTTTTTGGGAACCTCACAATTACTAATGCCAAAAATTTCAGTTTCTTTTAAACTGGTTTGTTTTTCATGGCACTATTTTCTTTTTTAACCCAGGATTGAACACCTCCTCGACTGAACTGAAATGAGACATCGAGTACAATATTTTAAGCTATGTTTAAAAGAAGATGAAATAGAAGAACAAACTGTTAAAAATATGTAAGTGTTATGGTACAGCCAAATGAAGGATTCGGCTCTACTGGTATTCTTAAAAATTCCTACTTCTGTGAAATTCCCTAATTGCAGAATTCTCCTTCACTACATCGAACAACTGATTTCCTCAGTAGTTCCGATCTGAAAGTGAATTAACAGAAATACTGAAAATGAATTTAAAATTAAATGGGAACATTCGTATACCAATATGATACAGTATTGTTGATTCGCATTTTTCTATATTCAAGACTATTCTTAAATTCAAATCTTTTAAATAAATGAGACTGAAAGCCAATGTGGTTGTGTCTGAGTATGTTTTTTGTGTGACATCCAAATATTCCTAGAGATTCTTCTATTTCTCCTCAACCATTTTTATGTTGCCTTCTTTGAGCAAGCTCTTGAGATGTGATTTCATAACGTTTTTAGGTGAAATCCCAATTCTGCTGACTACCCTCTATGTGTCCATAGGAAAGTTACTTAAATGGGTTAAGCCTCAGTTTTTTCATCTTTAAAATAGGGCTAAAAGTAGTACTTACGTCACTGAACACTTAATATATCTATCTGCCAATCATTGCTAAATGCTTAAGTAATAATGTCCCATCTTACAGATGTAGACTTTTAAAAAAAATTTATTTATTTAATTTTTTTTTGGGTGACATTGGTTAATGAAACCCAGTGTTTCACGTATACAATTTAACAGTAAGGCATATGTATATATTGCATTGTGTGTTGGTGTAAAAGGGGTCAACTATGTGGTGACAGAAAGAAATCTAACTATGAGAGGGGAACACAGATGTAGAATTTGAATGATTGGTAGCTAAATCCATACAAGATCATACAGCTAATAAGAGTTAGAATTGGGTGGGATCTGGTCCCAGGTTTACCTGACACCAAACCCAAAAGTTTTATAATATTGCTTCCTCTTTGGAGAGCTATTCATAGTTTCGTATGTCAATTTCTAGAAACCCTGGTCTATATGTTAAATTTTAGTACAGAATACTGCTGAACAGGTGTAGACCATCATTATAGGTGTGTGCATTAGAGTTTTTAGTAGTTCTTTTCTTTTTTGTACTTATTACGCTTTTTATCATATAATTAGTTGGATGCCTGTTTCTCCCATTAGACTGTTTTCATTTATTCGTTCAGCATTCATTCAATACATAGGTATTTACTGCATACCTACTAAGTATCAGGTTCTCTTAGGTGTACATCTAAGGTGAAGATATAATGGTGAACAAGGAGAGGTCACTGTCCTCAGGAACTTACATTCTATTGGGAAGGTGGACAAAAATCAAATAAACAATTTGAAAGCATTTAAGTGTTATAAGAATAACATTTTAAGATAAAAGGTAAGTAGTGAGAGGACAAAGGAAGGAGGCTATTTGGGATATTTATGTAGGACGGTCAGAGAAAACCACTCTAAGGGCCAGGGGGAGGTGTGAACAAAAGCCTAAATAACATAAAGGAGTGAGCCTTGGAAAATAGAGGGCAAAGGGTTCCAGGGAGAGGGAACAGGTAGTATGCTTTGAGACTGGAATAAAGTTAACTTATTTGAAGAACTCCCAGAAGTGTGGCTGGAATCAAGTGAGCACAGTAGTGATTGATGCTGCTGGAGGGTCAGATCACATAAACTAGTCTTGGAGGACTTTGTTCTTAATGTGATATAAAGTCCTGAAGGGATTTGAGCAGAAGAAATAATATGTTATTTACTTAAAAAAATAAACACTCTAGTTGCTTCATGGAGAACACACCTCAGAACATACCTTAGGAGGATATTGCCATACTCCAGGCAGGAAACGCTTGTGATTTGGATTA